AACACATGCACATAGAGAAGAGATCAACTAAGTAAGACCCGGAACATCACAACACATATTGACATGACAATGAGAAGCTAGAACTAATGGAAAGCACATGCACATAGGGAACATATCATCTAAGTAAGAACCGGTACATCACAACACACATGGATATGACGATGAAAAACTAGACTTAGTGGAAAACATATGCACATTGAGAAGATATCAACTAAGTAAGACCCGGAACATCACAACACACATGGACATGACAATGAGAAACTAGAACGTATGGAAAGCACATGCACATAGAGAAAACATCATCTAAGTAAGAACCGATACATCACAGCAAGTATGAACATGACAAGGAGGAGCTAGGCTTAATGGAAAGCACATCCGCATAGAGAGGAGATCAACTAAACAAGATCAAGAACATGACCTTCTATCATGTGAATGAAGGTCAGAGTCTAAGTTGGCAAACCCACCAAGGTTGAACCGAAAGTCATCCATGAAAGAAGCGGTGCACTACTTACTAGTGTATGAGTGAAAAGCATGAGTGTGAATAACCCAAATCACCAAGATTGTAGCAAAGATCGTCCATGGAAGTAGCGGTGTACTCCCCACTAGTGTATGAGTGAAAGGCAAGAGTCTGAGTAACCCAAATCACCAAGATTGAACTAAAGATCATCTACGAAAGTAGCGGTGCATTACCTGCTAATGTATGAGTGAAAAGCATGAGTGTGAGTAACCCAAATCACCAAAAATGCATCAAAGATCATCCATGAAATTTGCGGTGCACTACCTATTAGTGTATGAGTGAAAAACATGAGTGTGAGCAGCCCAAATCACCAAGATTGAACCAACGATCATCTATGAAAGTAGCGGTGCACTACTTACTAGTGTATGAGTGAAAAGCATGAGTGTGAGTAAGATTGAACCAAAGATCATCCATGAAAGTAACAGTGCACTACCTACTAGTGTATGAGTGAAAAACATGAGTGTGAGTAACCCAAATCACCAAGAATGCATCAAAGATCATCCATGAAAGTTGTGGTGCACTGACTACTTGTGTATAAGAGAGAAGCATGAGTGTCAACAGCCCAAATCACCAAGATTGAACCAAAGATCATCCATGAAAGTAGCGGTACACTACCTACTACTTTATGAGTGAAAACCATGACTGTGAATAACCCAAATCACCAAGAATGCATCAAAGATCATCCATGAAAGTTGCGGTGCACTACCTACTAGTGTATGAGTGAAAAGCATGAGTGTGAGTAACCCAAATCACCAAGAATGCATCAAAGATCATCCATGAAAGTTGCGGTGCACTACCTACTAGTGTATCACTGAAAAGCATGAGTGTGGGTAACCCAAATCACCTAGAATGCATCAAAGATCATCCATGAAAGTTGCGGTGCACTACCTACTAGTGTATGAGTGAAAAGCATGAGTGTGAGCAGCCCAGATCACCAAGATTGAACCAAAGATCATCCATGAAAGCAGCGGTGCACTACCTACTACTGTATGAGGGAAAAGCATGAGTGTGAGTATCCCAAATCACCAAGAATGCATCACAAATCATCCATGAAAGTTGCGGTGCACTACCGACTAGTGTATGAGTGAAAAGCATGAGTGTGAGTAACCCAAATCACCTAGAATGCATCAAAGATCGTCCATGAAAGTTGCGGTGCACTACCTACTAGTGTATGAGTGAAAAGCACGAGTGTGACCAGCCCAAATCACCAAGATTGCATCAAAGATCATCCATGAAAGTTGCGGTGCACTACCTATTAGTGTATGAGTGAAAAACATGAGTGTGAGTAACCCAAATCACCTAGAATGCATCAAAGATAATCCATGAAAGTTGCGGTGCACTGCCTACTAGTGTATGGGTGAAAAGCATGAGTGTGAGCAACCCAAATCACCAAGATTGAACCAAAGATCATCCATGAAAGTAGCGGTGCACTACCTACTACTGCATGAGTGAAAAAGATAAGTGTGAGTAACCCAAATCACCAAGAATGCATCAAAGATCATCCATGAAAGTTGCGGTGCACTGCCTACTAGTGTATGAGTGAAAAACATGAGTGTGAGCAGCCCCAATCACCAAGATTGAACCAAAGATCATCCATGGAAATAGCGTTGCACTACCTACCAGTGTATGAGTGAAAAGCATGAGTGTGAGTAACCCAAATCACCAAGAATGCATCAAAGATCATCCATGAAAGTTGCGGTGCACTATCTACTAGTGTATGAGTGACAAACATGAGTGTGAGTACCCCAAATCACCAAGATTGTATCAAGAAGCATCCATGACTGAAGTGGTGCACTACCTACTAGTGTATTAGTGAAAAACACAAGTTTGAAGAACCCAAATCACCAAGATTGCATCATGGATCATCCATGAGTGTAGCGTTGTACTACCTACGAGTGTGAGAGTGAAAAACACAAGTTTGAAGAGCCTAAATCACCAAGGTTGCATTATGGATCATCCATGAGTGTAGCGTTGTACTACCTATTAGTATGAGAGTGAAAAACACAAGTTTGGAGAGCCCAAATCACCAAGATTGCATCATGGATCATCCATGAGTGCAGCGCAGTACTACCTACTAGTGTGAGAGTGAAAAACACAAGTTTGGAGACCCCAAATCACCAAGATTGCATCAAGAAGCATCCATGAGTGTAGCGTTATACTACCTACTAGTGTGGGAGTGAAAAACACAAGTTTGAAGAGCCCAAATCACAAAGATTGCATCAAGAAGCATCCATGAGTGTAGTGCTGTACTGCCTACTAGTGTGAGAGTGAAAAACACAAGTTTGAAGAGCCCAAATCACCAAGATTGCATTATGGATCATCTATGAGTGTAGCGTTGTACTACCTACTAGTGTGAGAGTGAAAAACATAAGTTTGGAGAGCCCAAATCACCAAGATTGCATCAGGAAGCATCCATGAGTGTAGCGCTATACTACTTACTAGTGTGAGAGTGAAAAACACAAGTTTGAAGAGCCGAAATCACCAAGATTGCATCATGGATCATCCATGAGTACAGCGCTCTACTACCTACTAGTGTGAGAGTGAAAAACACAAGTTTGGAGAGCCTAAATCACCTAGATTGCTTCAAGAAACATCCATGAGTGTAGCGCTATACCACCTACTAGTATGAGAGTGAAAAACACAAGTTTGAAGAGCCCAAATCACCAAGATTGCATGATGGATCATCTAGGAAAAAATCGGACAACTACCCCCTAGTGTGTAAGTGAAAGATGAGAGTTTGAGTAGCCCATGGAAGGAAGAAGTTGAAGTAACAGAAGATGGAGGAGAAGGGGAGAGAGATGAGGGAGATGAAGATGGAGAAGAAAAGGAAGAAGACAAAGAAAATGGAAGTGAAGAGGAGGAAGGAGAAGATGAAGGGGGAGAAGATGAGGGGGAGGAAGAAGAGAAAGAAGAAGGAGGGAGAGAGGAAGAAGATGAAGGAGAAGAAGAAGAAGAAGAAGAAGAAGAAGAGGAAGAAGAAGAAGAGGAAGAAGAAGAAGAGGAAGGAGAAGAAGAAGAAAAAAAAAAAAAAAAAAAAAAAAAAAAAGAAAAAAAAAAAAAAGGAAGGAAAAAAAAAAAAAAAAAAAAAAAAAAAAAAGAATAAGAAGAAGATGAAGATGAAGAAGTCTCTTCCTTCCTCTCACCCTGTTGGTTCCTTGATGATGGTGTGTCCTTGATGAAGTTTCCACTCCTCGCACAATCCCCTCTTGGCTGTGTCTTCCTTCTTCTCCAAGCCCCTCTCTCCTCCTTCCTTACTCTCTCCCAGACTTTGGTAAAGCTTCCTCAGCTATGGCTATGGAGTCCTCCCCTCTAGGAGGGTTAATGAGACTCCTCTAGCCTTTTCTTCTCTCCTACACCCAGGGGGGATATGGCGGATCACCTCCCAAGTGTCTCTCCCACCATCATTATCCTCTATAGTCTTTCCCACTACCTCCTAGTCTCCTCTAAGCTCTCCTACTAGCATGGGCTCCTCTCGCCTCACTCTAAGTGCAAAGGTGCTCCTGTGAGCTCACTTGGGCAGCATGGGCACTCCTCATGCAAATGTGAGAGTGGCAGACTGCAACCTCAGCTTATTTAGGCTGAAACCATCAGTCCGGCCAGCCCATGAGCCTCTCCAAGTGCCTTGGGGTGAACCGAGGTACCCCCAAGGCAAAATTTCCCTACTAGGCCCTTCTTGAGGTACCTGAGCCTCATTTTGGCTAAATACATGCAGTCCGAGTGGTTGGTACCAACTCGGACTGCTTCTTGGCCAACTTCGGCCTCTTTTCCATTGCTCAGATGTTGCCCCCTTGGGTCCTAATGCCCAAGGGGCAACAATACTTGAAAGAAAAAGGCCTTGTGGGTCTTTTTCCTTATTTTTTCAAGTTTCGACTTTCCTTGGGTAGGCCGGAGCATTTTTCCATGTGGCAGCACATTTTCAGCCTTGGATCTGGCTGAGATCCAAGACCAGCAATAATCCGTGCTACCCCCTAGTATACCCTTGCTTCAATTTTGAGCCCCTAAGTCCACTTTTTCAATTTACTGGTGCATCTGACTCTCTTTTTGGGCCAAATGCACAGTTTTGTCTCTTTCCTTCTTTTGTTTCTTTCCATTTTGGGCTGCCACCTCATTCCGGAGCTAGCCGTTTTGAGCTGGCCCATAAAAAACAGCTAGTTCCTTTCCACCATAAGATCTGATCTCAGATCCATGGTCCAAAAGAAAACCGGCAACTTCCTTTTTGCATTTTCTCTCATTTTCTGCTTTTTAATTCAGATTTTATTGGGGTCATATCTCTACAATCCAGATTGTCCTTCCTCATTCTAGGAGGGATGAGGTCACAATTGGGACCTGCCAGTCCCTACTGTGCAGGTCCCAATAGGCCGGCACACTCTCCTCCCCTCTTTTCTCCCTTTTTGTCTCATTCTCCCTCCTTTTTCTTTCATTTTTGTTTTTTTTTTCTTTTATTTCACCATCGGACTTGTCTTCGGACCCCCGCATGGTACGGCTGCTTGATGAGTTCACCGACATCTTCGAGTCACCTACCGGTATGGTGCCAGATCGGCCGATCTCTCACGAGATCATTCTTGAGGCCGGTGCCGTGCCGCCGAAAGGTTGCATCTATCGGATGAGCGAGGAGGAACTGGAGGTCCTTCGCGCACAACTCAACGACTTGTTGGCCAAGGGCTGGATCCGCCCTAGCAGCTCCCCATATGGAGCACCAATTCTCTTCGTAAGGAAGAAGAACAAGGATCTACGCCTGTGCATCGACTACCGCAAGCTCAACGCGCAAACTGTGAAAAATGTGGGGCCTCTTCCTCGTATCGACGATCTTCTTGAGCGACTGGGCGGTGCTAAGTTCTTTTCCAAGTTGGACTTGAAGTCGGGGTATCATCAGATTTCGATACGCCCGAATGATTGCTACAAGACCGCATTCAAGACGCGGTATGGGCATTTTGAGTGGGTGGTCATGCCTTTTGGCCTCACCAATGCCCCGGCAACCTTCCAAGCGGCCATGACCCACGAGTTCCGTGCTATGTTGGATCGGTTCATGTTGGTCTACCTAGACGACATTCTCGTCTACAGACGGACTCTGGAGGACGGCCCGCTATCGGAGAAAATTCAAGCCATCCAGGAGTGGCCGGAGCCGCGTAACGTCACGGATGTCCGTTCGTTTCTTTGTCTTGCCGGCTACTATCAGCGCTTCATCAAGGGCTATTCGAAGATCGCAGCCTACTTGACCAAGCTTCAATGCGAGGATCGGCCGTTTGACTGCGACGAGGATGCGCGAGAATCTTTCTTGGCTCTCAAAGCTGCACTTTTGTCAGCGGAGGTCTTGCGAATCTACGACCCGCTATTGCCCACACGCGTCACTACTGATGCGTCCGGCTATGGTATTGGCGCTGTCCTCGAGCAACACGATGGCGTGGACTGGCACCCGGTCGAGTATTTCAACAAGAAGGTGTCCGCCGTGCACTCTATTGATGATGCGAGGAAGAAGGAATTATTGGCCTTCGTACACACACTCAAGCGCTGGCGGCATTTCCTTCTTGGTAGACGGCAGTTCCGATGGGTAACGGACAACAATCCGTTGGTCTTTTACAAGACCCAGGACACAGTCAACAACACCATTGCCCAGTGGATGACCTTCATTGACCAGTTTGACTTCTTCCCCGATCACATTCCGGGCAAGTCAAACCGTTTTGCGGATGCTCTTTCACGACGTCCGGACCATTGCACCGCCGTCTACTCGACTTTCGAGATTGATAACGACTTGCGGGACAATTTTATCCGCGGCTACTAGGCTGACCCCGAGTTTCGCGATAAGTACGCAAATTGTTCCTCGCCCAATCCGGCACCTTCTCACTATCGGATCCAGGAGGGATATTTGCTTGTCCACTCGCGGGGGAAGGATCTTCTTTGTGTACCGAGTGACCCTCACTTGCATACACGGCTTCTTGGCGAGTTCCACGATGCTCCCGCCACCGGACATTTTGGCGTCAATCGAACGATTGGCCGACTTCGCGAGCGATTTTGGTGGCCCGGTCTTCTCGACGACGTCACACGCTACTGCGAGTCATGCGAGATTTGCCGACGTTGCAAATCCCGCAATCATCGTCCATATGGCGAGTTGCGACCACTACCGGTTCCCTTGCGCCGACGGGAGGCGATTGCCATGGATATCACTGGGTCATTCCCCAAGCACAAGACCGGTGTGGATGGGATTCTCACGGTAGTCGATCGACTCACCAAGTTTGCCATGTTTTTGCCTTGTTGCTATCATGCCAAGGCACCAGAGTTGGCCGAGGTTCTCTACGCCGGTTGGATTCGAACCAAGGGTTACCCCAAGGAAATCGTCTGCGACCGCGACACTCGGTTCATGTCTGATTTTTGGTTGGCGCTCACCAAACGATGGGGCTCATCTCTCAAGCCTAGTTCAGCTCGCCACCCTCAGACGGATGGCCAAACAGAGAGGGCGCACCAGGCGGCACAGGTTCTCCTTCGCACTTTTATCCGTCCCAATCAGAAGGATTGGGTTGAGCGGTTGTCGGATGTCGAATTGGCCTACAATTCGTCCATCCACCCGGCTATTGGGATATCGCCTTTCGAGTTTGAGCATGGCTCTCCGGTCACTTCTCCGTTGGACACCATTGTTCCACGCACGGCCGAGAGCGACGACCATCTCCGTTTCTTGCGTCGGATGCAAGAGCTTCTTGTCAAGGCACACAATCAGATGGCAAAGACGCAGCAACGCATGAGCCAGCAGGCCAATCGCCAGCGTCTTCCTTGTCCATTCCGCGCCGGCGACCTCGTGTGGGTTTCCGTCGCGGAATTCAGCCTTGAGCAGGATATCTCTCGCAAGCTCCTCCCGAAATGGATGGGGCCATGGCCGATTGTAGCACCTGTTGGGGATGCACCTGAGGGACCTTCCTTCACAGTTCAGGTGCCCACCCACTTGCCCGTCTACCCGGTTTTCCATTGCTCCAAGTTAGCGTTGTACACACCAGCAGACCAGGATGACTTTCCCTGGCGACGATCGCAAGACCCACCCTCTATGGACGACTTTCAGGAGGTCGGTGACATCATTTCCCAGCGACTCTACGGCAACAAGCCGACCGAGTATCTGGTACACTTTGCGTATTGCACCCACTAAGCCGACCGCTGGTTGACCCGAGCGGAACTCCAAGCGACAACTCCGGATGCTCTCGTATGGTATGAACGAAAGATGCAAGGCAAGCCGGTATCTTCGGCTCCATGCCGCAACCGCATCCAGGTTCCACCTTCAGATCGTCGGCTGCGCCCTCAACCCGGCTTGACTTCATAAGGAGGGGGGGGTGTTACATTTTTGCGCCTGCACAGGAGGGCCATTTTCCAGGCCCTGCATCGTTCAGGCTGGAAGCCTGAATTTCGGCCTCAAGGCCTGGAAATAAGGGTCTGCAGACCCCATGACGGTTCACCCCAAAAGCCTGACATCCAGGGCCCACAGGCCTTGCATCATTTCAGCCAAAAAAGGCCTGAGCCTTTTCAGCCTGAAACTGAGGGTTATTTCCGGGCCTGCAGACCCCATGACGGTTCAGCCCAAAA